CAGGACACGGTGAGCAGCTCAGTGTCTCCAGCCCTGCTGGTGATTCCCCCGGGTCTGCTGGCCGAGCCCTCTCCTTCCACCTTCGCTGCTCAGCCCTGCTGCCAAGTTCAGGGTCAGAGCACTGAGCTGAGCTCCTTCACCAGCAAACCATGGCCCCGCTGGGAGAGGCTAGTGATGGGTTCTCAATAATGAGACCTGAAATCCTGCCCAGAAGCAAATCAAATCAGACTCTTCCTCATGGTTATGTTTTAATGGCTAAAATGAGTTCAGACCTGGAGCTTGTCGGCTTTCCAGTGCCTGGCTGTTTTCTCCAAGACGCCTGCCATCAGGGCTCAACAGAAGGCTGCACCAGGTTTTCACGGTCTCAGGAAGAGGCCGGCTCTGGGTCACAATCACGGATGACGTAACTTTGGTTCACCTCAAATGCTCAGGCCAGAAGCTGCAGCACACTGGGCAGCTCAGCTACCTCTGGATTGGGGCGAGAGCCGGGGCAGGACTCCCTTGGCCCTCCTTACAGCTCCGAAGTACCAATCTCTTAAAATGAGCTTTGCAAGAGCCCTGAAATCCTGCTGTATTTATGCCTCGAGCTCTGCATCACCCACGGTGATGACACAGAAACCACCGTGCACAGCAGGATGCACGAGCTGGGTGTGGATTCTTCCAGCCCCATTAGCCAGGCACGGCCCCACCATTAAAGACCAAGTAATTAGCCTTTGCGTCATTTGCGGGCAAGCCCTGCTGTTTGGAGTGTCACATTTTAAGGCTAATTAGCAATGAGGATTCTCCTCTACCAAAGCCTTGGAGCTGGTTTCCTTGTTTTGTTCTTTTTCGGTCTGTCTTGGCAATTAGTTATTTCAGTCGCAGACAGGAGTCATCACGAGCAGGGACAGGAGGAGGGATTCCGGACACGGAGAGGCTTCCAGCACGGCTGGCCGTGGGCCTGCTGGTAATCCATGAAGCCGTCTCATGATCATCCATAGGCCAGACTAAGGCAGTGCTGCTGCAAGGGACGAGGTGGCTCTGGCACAGCACCGTAGCCCTGCGTCCCTTGAGTCCAGAGCAGTGAGCCCCGGCAGAGCTTATCGCGCTGGAAGCTGAACTCCAGCTCTGCTTTTACAGCCACACAGGGCACATTGGGGGCACCAACGGTGCTCCGGTCCTCCACGCAAACACACCTGGGTAGCCACTGGGCTACGAGATACAGGGGAGTCTGGACGTGTCGCTGAGCTGGGACCCACAGCTTGGTGGTACCCAGGGAAGGGCTAAGCAATCCCCCAAGTGATCTCAGGTGATAAAGCGAAGCTGTTTTCAAGTGCTGCTTGCAAACAGGAGAAAGCACCGCAGCCAGAGTTTGCACGTGTCTGATGTGGGAATGCACCCATGGAAACAGCAGCCGGTGGCAAATCCTGCAGACAGCAGGTCGGAGCGCTGAGGGACGGACACCGGCTGGAAGCTGCAGCCCCTTGGGGTCTACACGGGCGGCTGGATGCTGACAGCCCTGGACAGGCAGTGCCCAAAGGACAGCACGCAAATCCCAGAACATAACAGCGCGTGGAGCACTGGGTTTCACTGGCGTTATCCTTAAACGGGCTGATAAAACAGGGGATGCAGAAGCAGAAAAACTTCTGCTTCTCGCCCTGTCACAAGCAGCAGCTTCCTGCACCTCTGCACGCAGGCACGAACACGCCACCCATACAGAGAGGCCTGAGGTTTCTGTGCGGGTGCATCACCCCATGTCCAGGTCCAAGACAACACAGCGACCGCGGCTGCGTCTTGCGGGGCAGGACAAGCCCTGGGGAAATTCGTGCCCTAGCGTGCTGGGGCTGAAGCATTGCACGGGTCCTGTCTACATGTCCCAGGGGCTACACAGAGAGAAATGTGTGGGCTGCACTCACTTTTCCCGGAAGGTCTCCTTCTCCTGTTCGCTCCACATGTTCATCACCTGCCGGTCCTTGTAGACCTTCATGGGGTCATCCATGAGGCCGTTCATGTTGATGAATTTAATGCGCTGCTGGTCAGCATCGTAGAGCATGGGCGGGATGACAGCGAGCTGGCGCATCTGCTTCTCCAGGTTCTTTGGGGAAAGCAGAAAGAACAGTTGGTCAGCAGCACGGACCCGCGGGGACCGCAGAGGACAGATGTTCGAGAGGAAAGGACAGGCGGAGGAATAGGAGAATTCCAAAGCAAGCACTAGACAGCTTTATTGCTAGAGTAATTGTAAATTAAACGCTGAAAGAGGCTATCGCTGTCAGCCAGGAAACAATTAATCTTTCATTTTGAAATAAAAGGCTTTAAAATACCGTGTGGAAATGTCTGACTTAAGCGAAACAGCTCCTGACCGTGACACGAGACAAGTCAAAGCAGCAGTGGCACAGGGAATGCAAACCCCTTCCCAGTCATCAAACCCACAGCCACGTGGAGGTTCAGCCCCCGACTCCAAATTGCAAGGGAAGCGGGTCAGCTCTGCAAAGCTTTCTGAAAGGGTGGGCAGAGGGAGACATTGTGTTTTCTTTCCACGGGAAACCTAGTATCGTTCCAGGAGGTTTCAAATGTCACCGTAACGGGGCCGTCATTCCTTTCTTTCCTCTTACTGCAACACCCCGGGACATAATCTGATGCCTTTACTCCATCCTGTTCAAGCACAAAGTTCATCCAGAGCCCCGGCTGCACACCAGGACAGGACAGACTGGGCACACTGGTTTCCATAAGTATTTGCAACAGAGTGGCCAATGTGATGTCTCATTTGTGCCATCCCCTGCCTGAACACCAGGACTGTGCCTTTGGCTGAGCTGCTGGTGGTCCCTCTGCTCTGTGGGGATGAAGGGATGCTCTGGCCACCCTCTTTTGTTTGCTAGCAGCACCGTCACTCTGAGTCCTCCCTGTCACCTGGGATGGCACTGGTCAGACATAAATTCCAACCCTTGACCCAGAAAGGCCAGGTCTCAAGTGCTGTCGTTTTAATTTACAGCTAGACTCTGGTTCCTGGGAGAACGGTAATGTCCAATCCTTCCAGCAAGCTGCCGACCCAGGTCTGCCCAGCACCGCTCTGCTTCCCCCCTGCGAATGATGAGACCCAACCTCCTCTTCCTAAAACACAGCTCTCTGCACGGGCACAGACGTTTCATCTCATTTCATCATGCTCCTCATCCTCACTAGGAAGCCTCCCGTTAAGCAACCGGCTGCTTCAGTTACCCTGGGGGTGTCATCTCATCGTGGGAGGTCAGGGACCAGCTTGCAGCCAGAGCATCGACCCTGACAACCGCCGCGGCCCCCCCCAGCCGAAAGGAGAGAGCCCCCGTGCAGAGCCACGGCAGGCAGAGAGGCAGCGGGCAGGAGCACTGCCTGCAGCTGACAGCGCAGGGCCTCTCCCTTCGCCTGGCAAGGTCTCGGGGTGCCGAGCGCTGCAGATACACCCCGCCGGCGGGCGGCCAGACCTCGCTCCTCTCTCCAGCAATGCGTCGGGGCGGAGAGCTGGCCCCTGCCGCCAGCGATGCTCCCCAGCTCTCACCTCCCTGCCCCTTCCAACCCTGTGGGAGGGCTAGAAGCTCTTAAAGTCTCCTCCGAGACACGCAAAGCGATGCCTTGGGGCTCAGCAGAAGGCTATCGGGGTGGAGTTCAGCAGCACACTGTGCAGGAGGTCGGAGGCAATCGTCTAACGCTCCCCTTGGCCACGACCTCTGCAGAGCCATGAAATTTCCCTCTGCTTCCGAGATCTGTGTCCTCCGGGTTGTCACCTTAACTGGCTAACAGCAAAGTGCCTGGGACCCGGGGCAGGGAGCGAACTGCCGGCGCACAGGCAGCAAACATCCCAGCTATTGCTGGGCAAGGGCTGCTCTCCCCTCCCAAACGTGATCCATTCACTGCAGCTCGCCTCCGTGCCAAGAGAGTGGAACCCTTGTGAAACCAGATCCAAACGAAGCCAAGGTCACGGGGATGTTTCAAGATGAATGGAGCACTCCCAGAAGACGTGGGCCAACTGGCTCACGTACAAACCATTCATTCCATAGGATTCCCCTGTGTCAAGCCGCACAGCCCATTCAAAACAAAACGAAACAGAAAAACCCCTCCACCCGGCAGCCAGGGCACCGGCTCCCTTCCCTTCCCACCTCCGCTTCCAGTTTAAACCACCAGCCAGGAGGTGTTTGTGGGGTGCTACCCAGGATGAGCAGCATGCTGGGGTTTCAGGTCCCCAAGAGGCAGTCGAATGCCGATAAACCCTACTCACTGGCCACCAGCTCCTGGGGTGCTCTGCTCCATGTTTTGCTCCTACAGAACCACTGCACAGCTCCATTACATCTCTCGGGCGGTTGGAAAGATGCCGTTGGGTATTAAATGAACACCTCACTTTGGATCCTGTCCAGAAAGTGTATTAGGCATCACGGCAACCTCTCCAACCTCGGCATGGCCTGAAGTTAGTGGGGTTTGGCATCAGATTTCACCATGGGACCTGGCGGTGCTTTCCTGGCTTCCTTGGAGAACAGCGGAGTGAAGGGTGAAGAGGAGAAAGGACAACCTGGTCTCACCTCTTGTTCTGAGAGCCCGTCGATGATTTCTGACACCTCGTGCTCGCTGCGTGCGGCCGACATGGAGAGCCCACCGCTGCCCCTCTGTCCTACCCTGCTGGGAAAGGGCAGTGAAACACTCAGACACTGATGCTCCATTTTGTAAACCACATTCATGACAACTCGCTGGCCCTGTTGACCTCTGTAATGGCCATATCCCAACATCCCACCCAGGCCACCCCATCCCACACTGCGGGAACGGCGCCCGCTGCAGCCTCATGGGCTCTGACAGCACTTGCTCCTGCCCGGAGAGCACCGTCCCCTGTGTCACCCAAGTTTAAGGCTCACAGGTTGACCGTCTCAACCAACCGTCCTTACCTGTGCCAAGAGCCACCTCCTGGATCACTACAACAGCAGGATATTTCACACCCAACCATACTCTCCCCCCATTATTTTCTCCTGTTCATCGCACTGCAGCAACGACATAAAGCCGTCAGCACCGAGCCGTCACCACTGTGCCACCACATCTGGTTTGCAAATGCTGCAGGAACTTTTAAATCAAAACCAGCGATTGACATCTTTCCCCCCCAATATCACCCAACACAGCAGCCATGCATCCCAAGGAATTAAAACTTTTCTTATTAAGCACGTAAAAGCTTAAAACATTTCTCAGTACCATTTCTCCCCTTCTTTTCAAGATAAAATAAAGCCACCGGTTAGGCAGTTTGGACCCATCCAGCTGTTTGTGGGGCACAAGGATGAGATGTTGGCACAAGGGTTTGGGTTCTGCACACATCAGGTGTCCCTGGGCAAAATCCCGGGGCTGAAATGGGAAGGATGGGGAGTTTTCAACAAGAAGGGTGGAGGTCATGAAATCCTGTCTCCTCCTGGCAGGAAACAATACGACCTCAACTGCACTTCCAATGAGGAGGAGAAAATGGACAGGGGACGGCACAGACAGGGGACATCCCCTTCAGTGAGACATTTTGCTCCTTTCTTATTGTCTGCGGTCATTCCTATAACCTCTGCAGACCCTTCTTCTCCTGGCCCATACTCCAGTCAAAGCATGTGCATGTATTAAATGACCAAATCCACCTGCAAGTCTTGTTCATCTTCATTTAAGCCCACCAGTAAGGCAGTAATTAGCACCATCCCAGCCAGGCGGCCAGCAGAAGGGAGCCGGCCCTTGCTCCGACACAGCCAGGTGGGAGACCAGCACAAGAGAGGAGGTGGGCAACCACATTCCTGACATTATTCCTTTCCCTCTTGGCTCTGGGCTGAGCCAGCCTGGGGAAAAAACAGCAAAGCTGCTTACCTCCAGGCTTCTGCCTTCCACTAGAAGGGGAGAAAAGGGACCGATAACCATACCAGCACACCCCTCTCGCAAACAAATCCCACATCCGTCCCCAAAGAAAAGAGAAAGGCTGTCTGATACCAGCTCAGCCCCTTCCTACCGCTTCTCCTCTAACCTCTGCATGCGCTCTTGCAGTTCCCGCTGCTTCCGGATCTCCGGGAATTGCTTCTCATAGTATTCCCGAACTTTGCTCTCTTTGGCACGGCGCCGGGGGTTATTTTCAATGCGCTCCACTTTTTTTTCCCAAGCCTCCATCAGCTGGTCATAGCGTTGGCAAAACTTCTGTTCCTGAAAGAGCAGAGGGAGAGAGGGAGCTCAGGAGACGTGCCTGGGAAGGGCGGCTGCTCCAGGCCTGTCTCTCGATGGCTGCTCAGGCTGAGCGTGAGTCATGTTGCTTAAAGAAATACGGTTTATTAGGGCATGGACATGCTCCAGGGTCTGTGACCAGCCCGAGGGTAAATTCTCAAAACAGGCCATCAGGTACCCTCGGGCTTTTCCCTTCTCGCCCAGCGTGGCTTTGCCCCCCCACCACACCTTCTGCCTGAGCATCCTGCAGAGCCTCGGGCGCTTGATTCAGCGACCGAAGCCCCAGTGCTGGGGAGGGAGCCCCTGCTCCGAAACGTCAGAGAGGGCAGGTCGCCTGCCTGAGGCCACCAAGCAAGAAGGGACCGAAACATGGAAACATGGCCCTGGGAAGGGACACGGGAGGGCAGGACAGCGGGTCCCCGCCGTGCGAGCAGGACGTGCAGAGCCAAAGTGCCGGCAGCGGGACACCCCTTCCCACCCGACACGCCGGCCCCGGCACTCCATGCCGGCCATGCCGATGGCACTGGGGCCACAAGGCAGCTCTGCACACGGAGCCTGGCTCCCCGAAACCAAGAGCCAGGCACCCAGCCCCCTCCAAGGCCCTACAGCGTGCTGGTCTGGCTGCGCCATGGAAAGCAGAAGTATTATTCCAGCTGTTGCTCCTCCTTTTCGGCCCGGGCTGACAGCAAACCTGGGCTCTGCCGAAACACGGCGCTGCAAGGGGTTTCCACGCCACGTCCCTCCCGGGTGACGTCCTCATGGCACACCCACCCAGCCACCCACACAGGTCCAGCAACCGCACTTCTCCCTGGTATTTATGGGACCAGCCCGGTAACCGTAACATTAAAATATCATTTGCAACACACACGAGCCTCCCTCCACCACCCTCCGAATTGCTCCTCCCTCCTCTGGCCACTATCTTGCTGGAGGAGAACATCCATGGACCGGCGAGGTCCACACCGAGAAGATGCCTGGGCCATGGTCCCCGACGCGGCAGCGGTGACAGGAGCGATGGCACCCAGCCTCACGTGAAAGCAGCTGGGAGACCAGAGGGGGTTTTGAGGTTTCATTTTGAGCGAAATAAATGCCTTCTAGGCCCCAAATCAGGAAGTGAAAGCAGATGTTGCTCTGCAAAATAATCAATGGCAAACCCCAGGTCGCCTCCTCCCCACCCGCCATGCCGCTTTCCAGAACGGGCAGCTCGGGGCTGGCATGCTCAGCATCGCACTCAGCACCACGGCAGAGACAGGGGGAACCCAGATTTCAAAGAAAAAAACTCATCTTGTGCCATCGCTGCCCCACAACACAACCAGAGGGAAGTCCAAAGCTGTAGGATTTCCCAGATGTGCTCTGCTCTCGTCTTGCTTGCTCTCAGCCACCAAAAAAAAAAGTGGGGACAGGTAAAAAAACCAAACCGAAAACGATGGAAACGCCTGATTCCAGGTCAGGAGGCAGCTGGGTTACCCCGAGCCAAGCGGGTCAGTCGTGCCGTGGACCCCAAGCACCGGCAGCTCCACGGCCGGCGTCACGCCGATCCTCGCACGGGGGTTTGGTTCAGCCATCCCAGACCTGGCATTAACCCAACGCGTCCCGTGATCCCCGTGGCCTTTTGGGGGCACCTCAAACCCCGCAGCCGATGCAGACTAACACCCACGCAAATAAATTAATTCCCATTTGCATGCCCAGAGCCAGAGGCTTTCCTGCCCCACACGGATGCACAGGAGGTGCTTGGCGTTTGGCAGGAGCTAAAGGAAACGGCCATAAGATCAAAGCGAGGAATGAGAACAAAAATAAAAATGCCCTAAAAGCCACTAAGGGGAATCTCGCGCTGCGGGCAAGGAGTGATAGGTAATGCCAACAAACCGCCGCAGCTTGGAGAAATCCCAGCTGCCGCATTTTTACCCCTCCTGAAGTGATGCTATCAGCCCCCTGAAAACGAGAGCTCCCACCCTGCCAGCAAATCTGCTACATCCTCCTGTTTTCAGAGCATCGCATTTGGGAAGAGGCTAAAAATACCCTGTAAAGTTTATCGAGCCTCAGCGCCAGGAAGCAGCCGGTGCCGCGTTGCATGCCAGCCCACGGCGTGGCCAGGGGACAGCCCAGCGCGAGGGCTCGGTCTGGTGAGGAGCTTCGAGGCTTGGAAAGGTTTTTCATTCCTCACAGGAATGAGCCATCGCTGGACCCTGCATTGCCACCGCCCCGGCAGAGCCACCTGGCACGACCGCCGGGCTGTTTTGTAGCCGGCAGGACGGCTCTTTTTCTTCTTTTTCCTCCACTCTTTAGGACAACTGCATGAAAGCTTTATTTAGAATTTCTCTTTTAAGGAACTGGTATTCGCAGACGGAAAAGCAACATCAATGTCACACCGCTGGTGCCCTCAGCAGCTCACAGCCTGGCGGGCAGTACCAAAGCTCCCTGCTCACACGACCCAGCCGTCCAGAGCCCAGCTTTGTTACAGACCGAGTGAGCGCTTCTGACTCGCGTCTGCTTTCCTAAAGCCCCTTCCCACCACGGAGCAGAGAGATCCTTCCTGCCACACAAGCTTCAAACCCCAGCACAGCGGGGCTGGGCTGCAGCATCCCTGCCTGGCGCTTTTTGTTCTGGCTGGGATGCGCGTTCTCTGCAATCTTTTGCCATCCCTCAAAAGGCAAGATTACAGGCACCTCACAGGACCGTGCGTTCCCCAGATCTTCACAGCTCAATCGCCAGGAGCAGCTCCCGGTCAGGCACTTGAGGAGCAGAAGTGTCTATTCCTTCTTCACGTATCCTCTGAGCAGCCTTAAGCGAGCGTGTTCGTTCCTGAGCAACCATCTGCGCCGGCTTTTAGCATCGGTGCTTCCTCTGCTCCCCTTCCCGGCTGGGCTCACCAGCCCATCAGCCTCTCAATCACACAAGTAAGTGATGGTGAGCCAAATCGGACTTGACATGCGTATCTAAAAATGGATGAATAGTAACGCCGCCGTAGCAGCTGAAGGCAGTTTGGAGGCTGTGCCAAGCCCGAGCCCTCCCGCAGCCCACGCTCTCGCAGCTCCAGGGAACGGAGCAGCTCTTCGCAGGGGAGGGGAAGAGCGAAGGTGACAGGAGGAACCAGTCCAATTCCTATGCAAACCCCACGGTTTTGTTTCCGTTGCTGACGGAGATAAAACTCTTACAGCCGAAACAGCTCCCTTTACCCTTCTCCTCCGCAACATCACCTCTCCAATGGCAATCAAATGTCTTCTGCTGTGCCGACCTTGGTGGAGGCAGGAGGAAGCCCTGCAGATCCTCTGGTGGGGCTCTCAGGGCTTGACCATGCAGGGACCAAGCTCTGACCCCTGCTCCAGCCAGCCCTGGGCAGCGACAATACCCCAGAAAGTAAAAGAGCCAGAAAGAAATGCTGGCACGTAGATGGGCTATGCTAAAAATAGGGTCTGCTACAAAATAGGCAGAAAAATAGCTAAGTGTACCCATTTTGCAAACAGAATCAGCAAATGTATTCACTTTGCAAATTCAGCAACCGTATGTTGCCTATTTTGTAGAATAGGCAAAATGCTTCCCTAAACTGAAAAATCCCCTTTCAAGGACACTGAATAAACCGGCTGGCAGAAATTCACCTATTTTGCATGACAGGCGACTTTACTGCAAGCCGTTTTTTAGGAACCGTGCTCTTGCAGACTAACTAAACCTCTTCCCCCAGCTCCTCAATATTCACAAAAGAGCGACTCACTCTAGATTCAGTGCCGTTAACCGGCCGTTTCCACCCAGAAAGCAGCTCCTGGGAACTTCCCTTCTGGTTCCAACAAAACCACCCGACGCTTTGCAATCGCTGTTTTGAGGAAGGGAATATTGATCCGCTGCCCACAACTGCAGAAGTCCTCAGCTGCGGCAGGCTCAGCGTCGTGCTGAAGGTTCAAGCCCTGTAGCCCCTCGCTAGAAACCTGGGAGAAGTTTTATCGTGGAAAAGACTAAACAAACACGTATTTGGACACAAACCGGAGACACAATCATCCCTTTGGGTGCAAGATCTGTGGCTTTTAGAAGATTGCTACAAAACGGGGCGGAGGGGGGGAAATGAAGCACGAGAAAGAAAAAGAACATGCCTTTATTCACCATAAATAAGAAAATTATTTGATCATTGGCTTGGAAATGTCTGTATTGAAAGTTACTTTTAAAGACAGAGCCTTCAAGCTATTTCCCAGGCTCATAATTTGGAATTTTTCCAACAATTCCTCCCAGCTGGAGCACTTCTAGTCCAAAACCAGCACCAAAGACATTGAGAAAACCTGCACCACTGGCAACTTAAGCCTCTGACGCTGGCACCTGAGCCTGCCCCAGAACAGACACCGAGTCAGGAACAGGTATTTACAACTTCCACGTAAACCACGAAGCCCTGTGTCATGGACTGAATCACCCTTCACAGACAGACACCACAAAATCCACCTTCCCGTGTGGGGGCTGTTGGTTGCTTCTGGCATTTCCCCTTCTGTGCTGGTTTCGCCCCCCGGCTCCCGCTGATGACTACCGCAGGCAACCGTCAGCACCGAAAATGCATGAATTCTGTAAATCCCACTTGAACTTTCTCCTCTATTTACCCGGGACTTGCAACAAACGCCTCTGAAGTCTCATAATACACCCCACCTTCCCCCTTACCTAACCCAAGAACCGTCTCCCTGAAGGACACTGGAACTAGAAATGATTTTGGGGGGCTTGATTTTTGTTTTAAACTACAAATTCCTAGAACATCGTTCTGTGGTCAGCTGGAAAGAGTCAGATGAGTCTTCAGACCACTGATGAGAAGCAGAGTCAGCTTGTTTCACACCTCTCTTAGGGTTCATTTACTCACAAAATATAGACATTTAGGCTGTGAAAGGCTCTCGGAGATCAATGAAGGGCTCTGCTGTGATTAAACCAACCCTGCGTGTTCGCTCTGCAGGGGATAATTGCGGAGGGAGGTGCTGCCTGCAGCAGGATCGGGGACCTCGCCTTTACGTCCAAGTTATTTTAAGCTTAAGAGATACCACAGCAATGCAACAGGCAAAGTACTGAGCACCAGCACTTCTCTGCTGGAAAACATCCTCCTCTTTCTCACAGAAGAAATTACGCTGCTTGATACGTATAAAACAAGGTATAGGGGAATCACTTACCCACTGTTTGCGAGCATGATTTCTCCTCTTAAAGTACAAAATTAACTTTTTCCGCATTGCCTGGTTTCTGTAAAGGGGAAAAAAAAAAAAAAAAAAAAGATGAGATCCACTTAATGAGGCAGCTAAAATCCAAAGCCTGGCTCTCCCTGCTCCCAAAGGGGTTCGCAGCGCAGTTTCCACCTTAACTTGGAATTGCATCAACTTCAGAGCAGCCAACGCGCTTATCTGGGGACCTCGTGCCAGCTTTGGAGAAACACCAACCAACCCTCCGACACAAGGAATTTCACCCACATCTGCTGGTAAAACCAGGACTAAGGTTGAGAATTAAATTCATAAACTCCCAATTCTGCAAACATTTACCACGTGCTCAGCACTGACCACAGGCAGATGCTCAGCTCTGTATTTACCAACGGGCCAGGCCGTTTCTTGATTATTTTTACATTTTCATCTGCAAAAAACCCCAATGGGGTTGCAAGTGTCAGGGGGCTCAGGCCGAGCTCTGCACGGCAGGAGGTGGCTCCCCCCAGCACCCCCCGAGCAGAGGCCACCCCGGGCCGCCCCGGTCCCCACGGCCAGCGGCGAGGGAGCTGTCAGCGCACACACACGCACGCTCCCAAGGGGTTATTCACCCCTGGGCTCCGAGACGCTGATAAGAGAGCAGGATTGCGGCACCGCTTGCAGCGCGTATCTCCTAACCTCTTGCTTTCTTGGAGCCGTGCCTGACAAAGCTGCAAACAAACCAGGCAGGAAAGTTCAGCCACTTGCAGAATAGGGACCTCAAGAGAGAAACTAGCCACTGGAACCACAACCAACCCAGCGTCTGCCCAGACACCCCCCTGGTTTCTTCTTCTTTCTACTTGCTAAAGACAGCAGGAAATAATTGCTCAAAGAGAAGCAGCGCCAAAGCAGAAAGGAGCTGGAAAGGCTGCACGGGCGCCCGGAGGCTGCACGAACCCGAGAGCTGAGCTCCTGCCGTTGTTCCTGTTACGAATATTCACAGCAATAAAATCTCTAGGTAAAAGGTAGAGACCAGGGGCAAAGGAGTTTCCTTAAGTCTTTTATCCCGATTAAAGGCAGAGCTGCAGTGTGTAATTACTGATCAGGAGCTTAACAGTCTCATGTAGGCATGTTCTGCAGGATTTAGCAGAATGAAAAGACACCCTTGCTGCTTCCTCATTGCCCTCCCTGCCTGGCTAGTGGGGAGGGGAGAAAACACCCTCGTCCCCCCATACATCCCTAAACCTCAGCAGCAGCAAGAGACCGTTTGGGAAGGGGCAGAGGGTCCGGCTGAGAGAGAGAGGAGTGGGGGCAGTCCTGGCTAAATTGGGGGATGGAGAACATCACAGAAAATATAAAAATTTTTCACTTTTAAAGCTCTCTTTTGGCTACACCACTAAACCACGTGCTGGCACATATGGGGAACGACAGCGATCCTGCAGCAAGCGCTGCCCTGGGGAGCCCGGGTCCCTCCAGCCCACCGCCGAGGCTGCACCTCCGCTCCGGCAGCGTGCTGGGGGATCCCAGCCCACCTGCGCGTGGGGACCCGGAGCAGGGCCAGGGGGCAACGCCATAACACTGGCACCCAATAATTAGCAGGTTTATTTAGGACAGAAATTCTTCGGGTGTGGGGTCTTCAACCACCACCTCCTCCAAGAGCAAGTACAGCTGCTAGAGGAAAGGCAGCAGGATTTGGGACAGGAATGATTTTCTTCTCCAGCACGGACACACTCAGCTTTGTGGCCTCTTTTTAGTTTACCAAGGAGGAAACACATTGGGCTTGATTCTCGGTCCTAATAGTACCGTTCAGATTTTGTAACTTCTGTTTTCCCCTCTTAATTAGTCACCAGAGGTATGGGATGCACGCGGAGTCCCTGACCACTGCCGGAGCTGCACTACATCTTCAGTCCCTTGGCTTTGCCTTGAACACTTTGGTGCAAAAATAGACCTTGATTTCCAAGGCAGCGCTAGCAAGCGGCACTCGTAACTCCTCCCATGAACGGAAAACACCAGCTACCCGCTGGGAACAGGCTCCAGTATCCCCAGCTCAAGCCACACAGCCCCAAATCCCTGTGCACTCCCAATTCCAGGCAGCACCAGCATCGGCAGAAGGCACAGCCAAGCGACGGGGCTGAAGCCTCCCGCAGAGGAGACACTCGGATCCACAAAGGGTTTCTGAGCGAGGGCTTGAATATCCTTTGATTCTGTTTCAGAAATCAAAATAGTATTGATCATTGGGTGGGGGAATCTAGTAAATCCATGCACGGGACACTTTCTGCCTTTGCTCTTTTTTGACGGCATTTTTACAAAGGACCCACTGTTGTTCTGGGCTGCGCTGCAAAGACCAGAGGCCACCTCCTTAGATGCATTAATAAACGTTGCTGCCAAAGGCTTCTCCCTGCTGGATCACACCACGCCACTGTCTTGTTTCTGCGTGGGGCATCCACCGAGGAGCCTCAAAGAAGGCTGCAGGCAACTGGCTGAGCTAAACCTCACCGCTCACCTCTGTGCACACAGCATTCACTTGCCTTTAAAAACCAGGGAAACTGAGGCACGGAGCTGCAGTGACGTCTGCAGGCTTGCGCGGAGACGGAGGCATGAGAAACGAGGAGCGGGGCTGTGCTGTGCCGAATGCTCCAGAGCATCCATCTCTGGGCCCGCAGGCGATGTCGGTCCAGCAGCACCCAGCACCCGTTTGCCAGCCCTGCACAGCCCAGCTCCTCTGCCCAGCCGAGCCCCAGCTCCTCACGTGCTCCCGCATCCCTTCGCGTGGCACACTGCGAGCTTTCGTCACCGGCTCCAGCACCGTGCGGTACTGCAGCGGGCAGCAACCCTCCTGCAGAGAGCTTGTTGGACGGATTTCCTTCCACGGCTTCAGCTCTGCAGGAACGCGCTCCGACACGACACTGTGCCCAAAAGGTATGATCCCATCGTTTGTTGGTTTATGCCAATTCTGATGGAAACGCTAACACTGGGAAACGGTCACGATGATCACGTATAGGATGGACCCCAGCAAGGGGTCATCGATTGTCCCTTGGGGCCAGCACAGCTACATCAACCCCTCCCCACACCAGCCTGGTGACATCCAGGAGCAACGTGGGGCTCTGCCATGCTGCGCTGCTGGATCTGCTGCACAAGTTATCAGGCAACAGGAGAGTAAATGAAGAAAATTAGCAGCTCTTACGCAGCTGATGGGTTGCCTTGAGTTTTGCATCATAGCTGACCTTGAAAGTGCTAATACAGGCAAAGACTTAATGGCTCCGCAGCCGCCAAAAACAGGAATGCCTTGAAAGCCGGTGTATGTTTACCACCACCAAGGCTGAAATAATCAAAGCGTGAAAGGATTAAAAACAACAACAAAACCCTCTCATGCCCTAAATGTTTTTGTCACTTTATCCCTTTTTTTTTTTTTTTTTTTTTTTGCATAAGGTCAACCTTTCAAAGGTTAATACAATCTCGGTAAATATAAATAGGCTTCACGGTTTATCTTGCTACATGTACCGCTGTTACTTGGAAACCATTTGCAGAGAGGTTAATTCGGGCCACGCGCCTCTGAAGCACACGCTGTGCTCCCTGGGCAAATCAAAGAGCCAAGCACGACTGCTGCGGCGCAGGCGGGAGGTGAGGGCTGTCTGCTGGGAGTCTTGCGCAGAAATAACCAGCGTGGAGCAGCACACGGGAAAGGTCGCTCTTGCAACGCGCCAACCCTCCGTCATCGTCCTCCTCGGCAACCTGAATCCTTGCAGCTCCCTGCCTGCGGTTTGTAGGGGCACAAGCAAAGCATCACGGATGGAGACCTGAGGAAATCGGGCAGCTCGCAGGCAGAAGAGGCTCCTTAGATAAAGCAACAGTGACTCTTGTGGACAGTTTTAAGTATTGCTGGCCTGGCACATCACGCACCACGCCGGGTCGGGAGGACGGGCGAGTTCCCCGCCTGGTGCTCGGCGGTGTCCCCACGCAGCTGCTAAGGCAGGGCAGGGGCAGGCTGGGATGGACCCAGTGACACACGGAGCCTGGGGGCTGCCAGATGGCACATCCCCATCCTTGTGGTCAACAATTCATCCAACCACTGCTGGAGCCCAGCCACATTTCTGCCCTCCCCACGGCCGCGGCCTCCACAGCTCCCCGGTGTACCCATGGGGAAAGACCTTCTTTCTGGTGGGCGCTCAGCTTCACGCAGCATCCCCCAGCACTGGCTGCGATGACGTGGTCAATACACATTTCCCACTCGTCTACTCCAGTGCAGCCCCAACCTAACACCTCCCTCTGAAGGCAGCTCTTCTCCAAGGTGAGGACACCACGTGCGGTTACCTTCTCCGTGCCAAAAGCTATTCCAGCCCTTTGGTCACCAGAGAAGCTTGTCCTGCACTTTGTCTGCTCCTCTGCAGGGAGAGAGAAGACCAGTCAGTATGGGTCACACAACCACCACAGCCTTCTCCAGAGAGACACTGACCTTCTGAGCTTCTGCAGACCCCAGGCACAAGAGTCACCTCCAGACAGTCCCCAAAACGGGGAGGCTTGGCCACGCTCGGGGAGCACTGGGAGCCCAGAGCTTCTGCTCCTCTCAACTTCTCTGCAAACGCCTCAAGGATTTCTGTCCTTGTTGCTGGTGGACTAACCAGGTGATGATCTCCTTCCACCATCCCTGCAGAGCGAAGGCAAGCCGAGCCCTGCCGCCGAGGCTGTGGGTGATTTGGGGTTTTTCCCACATCAGAGGCCCATTTGTTTGCAGTCCAGGGTAGCAGAGGCTCTCAGGAGCAGCAGGTCCCCCATTTTAGGGGCCAGGTATTAACTGGATGAGTGCAGCAAGAACCCCAGTACCAGGCACCAGCCTGAAATGGGGCACGACCCAGGTGGGGAGCCTGGGGCAGCCCCACCAGTGCCCAGCACCTCCCCACAAGCACCGGCACGCAGGAGGAGGAAACAGAGATCAAAGACGGTAAACCAAACTCAAAACCTGATGTTTGATTGTCACCTGCCACCAGCACAGGAAGCAGGATTCAAATGCTCTCTATAAGAATTTTGGGTGTGATTCTGCAGGAGCTTTTCAGCCTTGCATAACTCATCCTC